ACTTTGGGTCGGTAAAGATCTCAGCTCCACCCTAGCCGGTGGTGTGGTATTTAGATCATACTCCAATTTTGTGTTGCAGATTAAAGCTGTAAAACATTCCTATCACTCCCGGGAGACGTGCAGTAGGATCGGTTGTGTAACCAATTCGCCGCGCGCGGCTGTCGCGGACCATTCGCTTCGCCGCTATTACAGTTCTAGCGTTCTTCATGCAGCTCAATCGATATAATGGATGAATCGATTACACAATAATCAATATAAACGATAGGATGATGCTAATGAATAATATGAAGGTTCTTGTAGCACATATTTTGGCAGATTATTATTTTTGGCATGGTTCTAGTGAAAGTTCTTTTGTTCCTGTATCTCTTACTTGTTGCCACAATCTGCTACATTCGTTCGCACGCGGCGTCCCTCGCCGCGACGCGGCCATTTCGATCCTACTGCACCACACCCTATCTCTCTCTGTAGGACTCATTTCATGATAGGAATGGCTCTATGTAATAAAGTGTGTATGTAAGTGCGTTATAAATAAATAAAGACGGCCATTTGTCCAACTACTTTACCCTTGGAAATCTTTTAGAATCAGCACTTCATCTCTTTTTTCACGCCCACAAACCCCTTTGAATCTATGAAAACAAAGGCATTACAGAACTACAGCGAATCACGAGTCCATGCTCAAATGGGAGTGCGACATCTTCGTGCCGAACTGGATAACCTCACCATATTCGACGGCGAGATCGACTGCGCTTTTACTGACCGTGACACTGCACCCATGGGAGAAGTGAGCAATTATTCGACTATTTCAAGTGGCGGCTCTGTCTTTTCTCAGAATGCTTTGCCACCTAAAAATCAGACTCCTCCACTGTCCGCATGATATTACTCATCAGGATGCTCTTTGGTGGTGATTCGTGAAAACGATGAGAAATTACAATGGAAATACTGTTGCTGAATTAAGGCCGTACAACACTTAACAAATCAAATTGTAGACAATCCTGTTCACAACCGATGATCAGATTTT